AGAACTTCTGTGAAGGCTTATCAGAAACTGCACCGGCTGACAACATCTTAACAGGACTATGGTATTATCAGGAAGTGCTTCATGGATAAATCTCACGGTCTTGTCGTCAAATGCAGATGTAATGTGTCTATAAAGGTGCTTACTGGTAGAGGTTTTTGATGTTTTAAATCGTATCCTGATAAGGACAAGGTGTGAAAAGATCTTTTTTGTAATACCACTATCTATCCTCATAGCCTTTTCCTCTTTTTTGTCTAAAAGATACTCTGAAAAAAGGTAAGGGGCCACGCTCCAGTAGCAGCAGCAACGTGCACTCCACCCATCTGTTGGCGACTGTACAAATATAATCTCACTGCATTTCGGTACACTGATAATGAACCTTATTCTGATTCTGATTATTTTTTTAAATGTAGCATCCACTAAGTGTCCTTTAACACTTGTGATTTCACAAGACAGCGTGCGTTTCCACCTTGTTCTGGTACCACGACTCAGCCTCTGCTCTGCTCTTGTTGGCGATCTCTTCGTACTGAGCGCGCACTTCAGCGATGATGGCGTCCATATCCAGATCACGGCTGTTGTCCATCTCCACCACGACAGAAACATCCTTGATCTGGGTCTGCAGCTCGTTAATTTCCTACAGGAGAAGGAAGATTCCCAGTGAGGGTTAAACGTGCACAACAAAAAACTTTATGGATCGGTGCAGTTACTTACTGAATCGTAGAGCTGCCTCAAGAACTCCACCTCATCAGAGAGCCCGTCCACTTTGGCCTCCAGCTCTAATTTGGCCATGTAGGCTGCATCGGTGTCCTGCAGTGGCAACAACAGAACATTTAGAGATGATTTTACGTCCCACACTGGCACAAATAAAGCATCGTGTGAGCTCAGTGTGAACAAGAAGCTGCACTTTGCAACAAAATCTGCTCAAACCTTCTTCATGAGAACGAAGTTGTTCTCACACTCATTGCGCTTGTTGATCTCGTCCTCATATCTGGTGAAACGAAAAGTAGATAAGTGATATGTCTAGCATCGAAAATAACTAAATTAAGTACTGGACATCCCTTGAAAGAATGCATATCACCTGCTGACTTTCCTGTTTTAAACTAAGATAACATTTTGTTGAGAAATGACAAAGTTGTAGCTTGGTTTAGTCAAACTATCATAAATCACGCAATCATCATATCATGCAGTCTAAAGCAGTACTATGAGATGTCACACTCACAGTATATGTTATACACGAATCTCAGCTACTATCACACCTAAATATAGGTCAACATCTGTAAAATAGACTGGGTTTTAGCTGTTTCCTTTTTTTTTTTTTAAAGGATAATTGTCTTTGGTGGCCATTTTGAATTATGATGGACTCTTAAAGTTAATCAGTTGTCGGCGTTTATCCAACAGTTACTTTACACACGTTTCATTGACATCTGTACAGCTGTTCTTAAGATGCTAAAAGACAGACACGTTTAGACGTGGACTTAAGAGTTTCACACTTCCACCCACTTGTTTTTGAAGTCCTCCACGAGGCTCGTCATGTGGTGCAAGTCAGAGTCCAGCTTGACTTTTTCATGACCCAAGTTGTCGAGCTGCCTCCGCAGGTTGGCGACGTAGGCCTCGAACATGGAGTCGACGTTAGAGCGAGACGGGGTCTGTTCCTGCAGGAGCTTCCACTTGGTCTCCAGCATTTTATTCTGCTGCTCGAGGAAGCGCACCTGAAGACAAATCAGCTCAGACATTGAGATTTTGCGTTGGTTTTTTTTCAGCAGAAATGAATGTTTCTCTTCTTTTTTTCACCAAAACTCAAACAATAGAGGCAGATTTGTCTTTCAGACAGGAAGTGGACAGTACAAGGATGAACAAATAGAGTCATGACTTCTTTTTCTAATAAACTAAACTGTAAATCCCAAGAATGATGTTCCTTCTCTTTTAACTCAGAAGGCTTTCAGCACATTGTGGCCCTTTACAACGTTTTACAGCATCCTGATCCAGGGTGGGGACCCACTACCACTCAGCAAACACAGTGACGCACAGCGTGCCATATCACAGTGATACGAGGAGCAGTGGGAGAGTCGGCTTTGTTTTACAATCTGAAGAATTACAACAAGGTTATTTACACATTCAATTCTTTATCACTTGTCTGGCTTCGTCAACATGTATGAGTTGTAAGGAGGCTAAATCTTTGGAAGAGAACCAGTGAAAAGACGTGTTTTAATGTTAACATTTTAGCTAATATAGGAGGTAAAATGACCATTTTTATTCTTCTTCCTGCAAAAAATCTGTTGTTTAACCTCCCAGAGTCTCCTAAATTAGACATAGTTCAGTTTTTTCTGTATATTCTACATCATTTTTTAATGAAAACCTTGTTTCGTGCAGCTGTTTTATGAAGTCAGGGATATTTGAAGTTTGCACAGGAAACCAAAATGAAAGCAAAAACATCCCACAATCCATTGTTGACTTTGTTGACCGCTTGTCTTTGCAGGGCTTAGCTTGTGCGAGAGAAGTAAAATCTGCTTTTTATTTAAGTGTTGTGTTTGGGGCGATCCTCCTGCCTGCTCTCTGTGCTCTCACCTGCATCTGGACTAGAAACATCCCCCACTGGACTGCACAGATGGCACTTATGAAGAAAAGTTGGCCTGTGGCGTACTGACTTCCTCTGCACTTTATTGCACTTTTTCTCCAGGATTGTGTGGATTTGTGTTTAATCTCAACAACCATGCAGCAGAGCGTAGACAGATGTTTCTCTTTTTGCA